CAAAAATAAAATAAATAAAAATTTTATTTTTACCTAATAAATCGGGCGTTACTTTTGGTGACTACTGTACGTACATACGTAATAAAATCTATATTTATGCGCATATTATGCTATCGCAGATTTTCGGTGGCCCTATTCCGAACTTATACGTAAAACAGCTGTAAATCCGGTTCTTATAATTAAATCCGGATTTTCCGGATCTTCCGGATCTTATGATTAAATCTGGATATAAATGATTAAATCCGGATCCAGGTAATAATTCTAAATCAAGGCATACTCTTATGGGTATGCCCGATTTTTTTCCCGTGCTCCAAACCATTTACATATTGGGATTGGATTAATAATCGTATATACATAATGATCATTTTGTTTTTTTTTTTTAAATAGGTATATGCTTTATTTTACGTGTTGTTATATATACAATAACTGTTAATACTTTATTAGACATAATTTTTATTTCACTTACTGGTATGTAAGTACGTACGTACGTACGTAAAATCTACATAGGTTTGTATCGGTATAAATTCAATTATAAATCAAATAAAGTTAATCTATAAACCTCAATTTGGATTAGACTAAATCTTAAAGACAAAATAATACCCCGGAGTCTGATACTCCATTAACAGTTCGAATATCCACCAATCGTTTATGATTATGCTTTGTCTGCTGATCAGCAGAACGGCGCCAAAAGTAGTGTTACCTTGATCAATTCAAATACGTACGTACGTAAGCTCAATTCTCTCCGAAATATAATGTGTCATGATTTGTAACCCTTGTAGCTATAAATCTCGTTTGACTTCTGAACATTTCTACCTGTAGTAAATACTACATTTGTAGGATAATTTAGTGCTAATGTCATTCGATTTTAACGAGGCACCGATACTGCCTTCACAAGAAGACTATGATACGGGGGGAGGTGGTGGATCTTCAGATAAGTTTCAGAATGGTGATACCATTAGGGCGATTGCTGGTTTCTTTGCTATTACGGCTACTTTTTTGTCAGTTATTTCTGTATGGTCTCACCTCAAACATTACAAAAAGCCGGTATGTATCTGCGTTCTTAGGCTTTTCATATTGAATCATGATACAGTACTTTATATATTGATTTTGTTTTTTCGTATTCTAGTTATTACAGCGATATGTGGTGCGGATTATATTAATGTGAGTTTAGATGACATGTTAATTTTAATGCAATGCCACGTGATTTTTCTATTAACTCTTATACTGTAATACTTAAATTATTATTAGGGTGCCAATTTATGCTATTTCTTCTTGGATTAGCTTGACCTCAACAAATGCTGCCTTCTATGTTGACTGCATAAGGGATATGTATGAAGTAAGGATTACAACAAATTAAACAAGTTGATCCATTGATTTGATACTAAATAAATTTCATATTATGTCCATAGGCATTTGTGATCTATTGCTTTTTTAATATTTTAGTAAATTACATTGGCGGAGAAAGAGCTCTCCTGACCTTACTTCATGGTCGTCCACCAACTTCACATCTTTTTCCTGTCAATCTATTTGTCAAAGAAATGGATGTTGGTGATCCTTACACGTTCCTCTTTTTGAAACGTGGTATTCTTCAATATGTATATTTAAAACCGGTGTTGGCTACTATTACTATGATTCTAAAGTGGTCAAATGCGTACGACGAAGGCTATATTGCACTCGCAAATGGTTATATATGGATATCTCTGATATATAACGTTAGTTGTTTCTTATGTTTTTACTGCTTGATAATCTTTTACGTTTGTACAAAAGATGATCTAAAACCATATCGGTGAGTCATAACCGTTTTATTCATTTATTTATTTTTTTTTGTTTTCTTGTATTAAACACCGTATATTAAACCATTAAATATCATAGACCTATACCGAAATTCCTTTGCGTAAAAGCCGTGATCTTCTTTTCTTTTTGGCAAGGGTTTGCACTTTCAATATTTGTGTATCTTGGAATTATTCGTGACAGTAAGGTTCCATTTGAGTTCCCTCACAGCAAATAATGCTTAGAGTAGATGAAATATATATACTCTCAGCAGGATCTTACTGTGAAAGAACAAATTTCATATTTAATACCTAAAACGCATTATAGAAACGATTCTGATTATTAATGTTCTTTTTATAGCCGAAGTGAATTCAGCGCAGAACATCTCAGTTTCAATTCAAGATTTTCTAATAACTTTTGAAATGTTGCTTGCTGCAATCGCACATTGGTATGCTTCTTTAATTATTTGATATGTTATAAATGATAACATTTAATAATATTGTTCAGAATTTGTAAATTGCAGGTACGCTTTTTCATACAAGGACTATATCGATCCTAGTCTCCGATCAGGCCGTATGCCCATTAAATATGCTTTCAAAGATTGTATGGGATTCAGAGATATAATAGAGGATACGTTAGAAACGATCGGAGGTTCACGATTTAACTATAGAACTTTTGAACCAGCTGAAGGCATGGCACATATTGGCCCGAGCAGAACAGCAAGGATAATGGCTGGCTTACGAATTACTGGTGGTGGCACTGGTAAATATTGGCTTCCTGTTCCAAATTCTCGTACACCTTTACTTTCTGGGCAAATGGATGATGATAGAGACAGTTTAAATTTTCATGATCCTGATCCGAATGATGAAGTGGAATACATGTATTCCTATAGTAGGAAATTGGGTGAACATGGGGACTATAACTTCCCTGTAATTGATTCCGACCGATATAAATACCAGAGACCACCACCTCCAAAACCACAAAGAAAAAGAACTATGTCCAAAAGAAGATCAAAATTAAAAGGGAAGGGAATAGCAAAAAACTTTTACTTTGAAATTGGAGATGATGATGATAATACTGAATCTGAAAGTAAAGAACATTCCAGCAGTTCTAGTATTCCACCGTTACGTGATGGTTGTGTGGATCTTGTTAGAGAAGATGGAAAAAGGTTGGAAATCTATACTGATCCTATTGAAACTTTGTCTCATGATCCACCTTTATCATCATTAACGCAATCATACGAGTCCATATTGGCAAGAGACCCGTTTATTCAAGAACCGATAGCATCTATGGATGTGCCTCACCCATTGCCGATAAGTGCAGTTAATCCAGTTAATCCAGTTCATCCACTAGAGATGCCGAATGCCTGGCTAACCTCGACTGATGATTGAGCCGAACCATTTGTAACCTAGCGATTTGTTAGGTTGCTATAAAAAATTTTTTATTGCAAAAAAAAAAATTTATAGCAAATTGTTATTTTAATAATATAAAATATGTATTGTTATCATTTTGTTTAGAAAAAAATCTAAAAAATGGGATCATCTATATACTGCACCCTACGTTACTCGTATTTACTGCAAGGTCTTGTGTAATAACACGTTCTTTTTTTCATACGTACGTACGTACACACAATAGGGCATTTTTTACAGGGCAACCCAAAAATTCCGGATCGGAGCCGGGCCGGCATTAGCATAGTTTAGCAAATTATCAAAATTATCATCTAGATTAATGAGTGGTCTGCGACTAAATAAAATTTTAATGATCTTGGCAAAATTACACAATTCCGGCCCATCCGATTCCGACCGGAATTTTGGAGATTTTTCTGTATCGTACGGTTTGTCATACGTTACGTAATCTGCCATGTGATTTACTAATGACCCCGTTTTCGGTTATTTATACAAAAAATTTCAAATTGTAAATATTTTAAAAAATAAAAATAAATTTTGTAAAAAGTATATTATTCTGTATATACGTAGTAAAACATTTATTTTTAATAATAAAAATATTAATATAATTTTTTAAAACAATATTTTTTTGTATATTTAATAGTTTTTGTTTAAACTACAGTATTAAATTTATAAAAAATTTTTTAATTATTCTTTGTATTTAGAAAGTTATATTAATCTAAATTTAAAATTTTGATATTTATATTTAAAAATATAATAAATTTAATTTTTTTTTGATATTAAGATAACCTCTTGGTTATCTGTTTTTATTTGATTAATTATAATATTTAGTATAATTATTTGAAGGATTTAGACCAGAGGCCTGCAAATTTCAAATTTTTCAGCCCGGGCCTGGCCCGCTATTAGGGTTAAAATTTTTTGCTGGCCCAGCCCGCCCCATTTTAATTAATTTAAATTGTGGGCCCGGCCTGGCTCGCAAATATATAAATTTAAAATTTTTTATTAAATATAATAAATTTATAAATTGGTGCTAAACAAATTTATATATATTCTTGAAAATAAGCTACTCCAAA